CTGCCTGCCTCGCAAGTGCAAGGACCTGAGTTTGATCCCCAGTACCAAAAAAAAAAAAAAACCTAATGGATATAATTCACCATATTAATATACCAAAGAGGAAAAGTTTATGATCATTTCACTTGATGCACATAAAAAAGTCATAAAACACCCATTTGTAATAAAAATTCTCACTATAGTATGACTAGAGAGGAACTTCTTCAAACTCACCAATGGCATCATTTTAAAAATCTACATTATCACCAGACTCAATAGTAAGAGATTAAAGCTGGGCATAATGGGGCACACCTGTAGCACTCAGGAGGGTGAAACACAACTGCCATGAGTTCGAGACCAGTCTTTGCCACATAGTGAATTCAAGGCCAGCCTGAATACACAGTGAGATTTTGTCTCAAAAAAACAACAAACAAACAAACAAACAAAAAACCAAAAGATTGAACACTTTTCCTCTAAGAAGGAACAAAGAAAAGCTGTCTGCTCTCACCAATCTTAGTTAACACAGTACTGAACATTCTTGCCACTTCCAGAGAGACTAGAAAGGAAGAAATAAAAATTCCTCTTTACAAAGGGAATGATCACCTACATAGAAATCCCTCAGGGATTTATGAAAAGCTTCTACAATTACTAAGTGAGTTTAGTAAAGTCATAGGATGTAAGATCAGCACAGAAACGTCAACTGCATTTCTGTGTGTTGCCAATGAACAAGTGAAACCCAAAACAAAAATCTGAATAACATTTACAATTGATCCAAAAAATTTAAATAGTTAGATACAAATCTTAATAAATACTAATATAGATAATCTGTATTATAAAATACTGATGAAAGGAAAGACAATCTAAAACCCTGAAGAAATTCACCATCTCATGGATTAGAAGACAGCAAAAAAGATATCAATTCTCCCTAAAGTGATCTACAAATTAAACTCAATTCCTAATAAAATGTCAGAAAGTTTCTTTGTAGACATAGACAAACTTAGTCTAAAACGTATATGAAAGAGAAAGGCCCTTACAAGAGTCAGCATAATTTTGAAAAAAAAGAACCACGTTGGAAGAATCACTTTTCCCAATGGCCTAACTTCATATATAGCTGCAGTAATCAAGACAGTGTGATGCTGACCTATAAATGAATGGGACAGAGAATCCAGAAAAAGATCAAAGCAAATAAGGCCAATTGATAGTAGACAAAGAAGCAAAAAAAATTCAATGGACAAGGGACAGTCTTTTCCACAAATTGTACTGGAACAACTGGAAATCCACTGGCAAAAATTATAAAACTCAATTTAATCCTCAGATGGAACTTGTATAACAATTAACTCCAAATAGGTCATGGGCTTAAATGTAAAACTATAAAATTTCTAGACAAGAATACAGAAAATCTTCAGGACCTAGGACAAGGCAAAGGTTTCTTACACTTGTTACCAAAAGCATGATCTTTAAGAGGAATAACTGATAAATTGAATTTCAACAAAATTTAAAGCTTTTACTCTGTGAAACATCCCAAAAAGAGAGTGAAAAAACAAATTCCAAACTGGGAGAAAATCCTTTTATATCACATATTTGAAAAAGTTCTTTTGTCTAGAACAGATAAATAACTCTCTAAAGTTAGCAATTAAAGAAAATCTAGTTAGAAGTCTAAAGATATGTACAGACATTTCACCAAAGAAAATATATGGGTAGAAAATAAGCACCTAAAAACATATTCTATATAATTAGCCACTAGAGAAATTCAAATTAAAGCCATAGTGCTATATCACTAATGCATCAGAAGGGCTAAAATGAAAAATTGTGATAACACCAAAGGCTGACAGGGATGTAAACAACCCACATCATTTATACATTATTACTGAGAATATAAAATGGGAAAGCACCCTGGAAAACAGTTTGACAGTTCTTTCAAAACTGAAAATGGACTTACCGCATAAATCAGTGATTGAACTAATGGGTATACATCTCAGAAAAATGAAGACTAACTTTCATGCAAGACTTTATATGGAAATGTTCATAATGGCTTTATTCTTATACCCTAAAACTGAAAACCATCCATATTTCCTTACATGAGTTGTGGTATAACCACACCACAGAACGGTATTCAGCTGTAAAGTAAAGTTACTGATAGGCACAAACCTTGAATGAATTTCAAGAAAAGTATGCTGAATGAAAAACAGATCAATCTCAAAAAGAGATGCAGTTTGTACAACAATCATGAAATAACAAAATGGTAATGGAGAACAGATTAGTGGTTGCTGGGCATTAGGGATGGGGACATGAAGAAGAGGATGGTATGACTTACAGCAGATAAAAGAAGAGTTGCATTGCTCATAAAGTTGAGCTCCTTGACTGTGGTAGTACTTACCTCATCCAAAACTGATGAAGATAACAAATATGACTTTCTTGATTTTTTATAATACACTACAGTTATGTAACGTGTTAACATGGGTGGGAGTTGTTAGGGACTCTGGTGCAGGCTGGGGCAAGGGTATAGGGAACTTTCCTGTACATTACTTTGCAGCTTCTGTGAATCTGTAATTATTTCCAAATAAAAAAGTTTAAAAGAATATCCTATAAAGTCCTATACAGGTAACACAAGCAGGCCATATGTTTGACTCTAAGCGCTTGAGAAGCAAGAGAGGGAAAAAAATAATAATTACACAGTATACAGGGCCATAGAGTGGGGGAACCAATTGTTCAGAGGACCCTCCTGTAGCCCAAAAAAACGACCTTGATGGTAGGTATAGGAAGACCTTCCTTTTACAGCTACACACACACACACACACACACACACACACACACACACGCAAAGATGCTAACTAAAGATTAGTCCTTCAGCTACCATCCGGAGCCCAAGAGAGCAGCCTCTCACTCTGGCCTATCCCTGTAAGTTCTTCAGTGAAAAGTTTCTTTGAGTCATGACATGGAAATGCAAAGACCAAGGATCTCAGCAGTCTTACAATAGACAAGATCATGTTTAAGGCACAGCTCAACACTAGGGGGTGCAATTTCTGATGTGCTGGATCACAGTTAAGATCAAAACCTTTACAAAGAGAGGCACTTTGTAGACATCAACAAAGGCCTTAAAAACACCAGCTTCCATGCAGATGCCCTCTCTCTGACTTGTTCTGGCTCACTAGTGCCTCTAACATGATTTATTGCCTTGGAAATCTCATTCATCTCATGCAGATGCTCTGGCAGGTGGTCATGACACAGGCTGGAAAGGAAGTTCTTTCATCATCCCACAGAGAGACAAAGAAACACAGGGGGACTCCAAGAGAAGGTCCTCTGCTTCACTAGAACTTGCAGGTACAGTTAAAAGCTTCAACTGAATAAGGAATGTTTCTTCACCTCATTTTGCTTACTGTTTATATGGGGCAGGATTTGGGTGCCAGGATGTGGATCTTCACCTTCACCAAATATATTTCTATCTAACCCAACTTTTATAGTAGTGGCTATCACAGAGACTTGCTTCTTCATTCAACAGACCCTTAGCTCAAATGCAGGTAACACTCAATTCTCACTCAGCCAATAGTTTGAGAGACCACCTCCCAAGTTACCTATGATTATTTCAGGCTTAAGAACATTGAGCCAATGACTTCCAATCTAAAGGGCTCTCTTTTCCACCAACTTCACCCAAAGTCAAGGCATCGCTCACTAGTCCAAAAATGAACCCCCAATGGAAAATCTATGAAGTACAAGAATTTAGATTAAGATATTGATCTTGTCAACTTACGTGGAACTGGTCTGAGGTTGTTCAAATGCTTCTTTTGGAATTTTAAGGCCAGGGTTTCGCTTCTTGCCTATGGAGAAAGAAATAAGGAAAATGTTAAAGTCTACATCACAGCAAGAGGGCAGGAGCAGAGTCTGTGAGTCCCAAAACCCCAAGCACCAGCACTCACAGGGGTCCCAAACGCAGGCAGGGGTTAAGAGCAGCATTTTCATCGGTTCAACCTGAAAGCATCCAGGTAAGAATGCCCACTCCCTTTTCCCAGTAAGACTTACTCTTTCTCTCTGCTGAGAATTTGTCATTTAACTTCTTTGTCTTTTCTTTTTATACAATAATTGTGATGAAGGATGATGTTGGTTACAGGATTTTTTTTCTTTTTAATGTCACCATTACCTCACATTTAATGCAGTCACTATTACCTCAGTGTCCTACAGTTTTCTAAATTTGTCTGTGAACAGTTGCTAAAATTAACAATGCAAGTAGAATAAAAACTGCTTTTCCACTATCCTGCCCTGCCCCATTCCTCAGTCAACCTGCCAGGAGTTGAAAACCTTAAGAGATGGTTTTAAAACATACAACCTAGAGTAATATTTTCTTATATCGGCTTTGTTCCAAGATGGATTAAGATAACAGATGGGCTCAGGCAAAGAGGTTACCACTTCTTTGGGGGCCAGATGGGAACGTAACCTGATATTGCTCATCCATGAGCTAAAACTACACGAGAACTTGGCTCAAGTACTTTTGTTGATGAGTCAAAAAAGAACAGACTGAGAAATGCCAACTCAGGAAGCAGATTAGAAAAAAAACAAAAACGGTCTTTTAAGAGCCTGGGATTTTTCTTCCTTTATAAAGAACCTGTGTCTCTTTGCACTTAGCAGGAGGAACCTAAGCAGAACTGGATAGAAGGCCCACAGTTCTACTTCCTCCATCACCTCTTCTCTGCCTTGAAAGTGAGCACTTCAGGGTAGAGAGAGCCCTGAGTGAAGTCCTGGGTAGATTCTCAAGCTGCTAAGAAACTTAAGAAATCAAGTAGGTAAACTCCTTGCAGGAAGGTGACATCTGAAGACTTTGGGAACCTGATTAACATCACAGAGCCAGCAATGACCTAGTCAGAATCAGAGTCCAGGACTCCTGACACTCAAGTTAGAGGCTTTTTACCCACTACTTCAGAATGAGTAGGATAAATTTTCAATTTATCCATTCACCAAGGGACCACCAGAGTGGCTTTTCATCGGACTCCTCCACTGTAAAAGTGGAAAATTACATCAAAACCCACCTCACTGGACTGATATGAGGATCAAATCAGATAATGAATAAGAGAAAACCCTCAGATACCATAAAAAGCTCTTAATTACAATCATATGGAGAAACAATCTCTCTCTCTCTCTCTCTCTCTCTCTCTCTCTCCTCTCTCTCTCTCTGGAGATTGAGCCCAAGGCCTTCACTGAGATATATCCCAGCTTTTCTTAATTTACTTTTTATTTTGAGATAGGGTCTTGCTAAGTCACTAAGAAAAATCACATGAAATTCATGAGCAAAATGTGTCACATTATCAACACCCAATACAATGAGTAACTAAGTTTTTTTCTTTCCATTCCTTCAAAATCTGAAATCTACATCAATTATATCAAGTTTCATAAAGCCAGAAAAAACTATATTTATCAATCAACACAGAGAAAGTCTTTCAGGAATACCTTTAGTCAAACAATTTTTCTCAATTCTCTCCTCACTTTTCTCTGTCCATTGTATAAGATTTAAAATTCACCATTCACTTTCTTGTTCTTGGAGCACATAGCACCATTTAGGAAATTTTACTCAATTACTCAACACAATGCAATGTCAACTGACAATACATCAAGCTTTACTACATACCAGAAACTCTGCTAGGTGCCTGATTTGATTGTGAAAACCCAAATAGACATATGGCCTAATTCCAACAAGTTTCATCCATGAGACTCCATCAGAAAGTCAGGGGATGCTATTTCAAATGAGGCAATACAGCAAGGGATGAAGGACAGATTCAACTTATTCAAATAACTACATACATTGTCCAGTGCATATGACAGGTGATTCAGGTAATCTCAGTAACACAATGCTATAATCCTCTCAGATGAAATAAAACTAAAAGCAAAATGTATTTTGCCTGTGTTCATTTAAGCAAACCAAAAGCAGAAGTTACTCTTAAACTCCTCTTTCTCTTCTTCATTTCTTACTCAGTTCTTGTAAGATGGAAATAGAAAAAGTTATTTAGAGAAAACCTTCTTTGAAAAACCTTAATACAACAAGTAATTAGGAGCAGTTCCTAACAGTGTCAAAACATCTATCCTGAAAATGAGAGAGACAGAGAGAGAGAGACTTTTTGGCACAGAGAGCAAAAGGATAAATAAGCACAACAACAATAAAGTCTCCAAGTGGGAGCAGAAACTCCATGGTTCTTTCTCCACTTCACCTGCACACCCAGGCGCTCTGCCTGACGTTGACCCCATTCCTCCCCCTGAATTTGCTGCCTGCTTAGGGAAACTGCCAACTACTTTTCTTTAGACTCGATCCCTAACTATATATAAGTTGCAGATTTGCATAGTCTCCAGACTTTTCTTAAGTCTAATATTTCAAACCCTAGCAAACTGCTGACAGCAACAAGGAAAAGATTGTTCCAGGAGACACAAAACCTAGCTGAAATGCACTGTTAGAAAATACCCTGTCCTCACTTGAAGAAGTAGATCGAATAATACAGAAATCATAAACACATACACACCAACATTCCAGGATTCACTTACCTGCCCATCTCTGAGAAAGCCAGCAACGCTGACAAAGTTTTGAAGGCTGCAGGGAAAGCCAGCAAAAGAAAACCCCACAGAAGTCATTCTTTACTTAGTTTCAAGGACCACACACTTCAGCCAGGAGAAACCAAAAGGACCAGACTCCACCTCCTCCTCCACAGCAAACGGCAGCAAACCTCTGTGAGTTCATTGTTCCCAGGGAAACTGCAGCTCAGGAGGGGAGACCGGAAGTGGCTCCATTTGGACACCCAGGCGTGACATTTATCATTAACCACACTCGGAGAAGTAAATCTATAAAGTAATTCTGGGTGGTACAATGTTCTCCAGCCTCCCTATAAATGCTTCTTTCATTTCTTAAAGAAAGATAAACAATACATGGTCAGTTTCCAGCTGTGTTTACTTCAGTGCAATCTGTTTGCCCTAGGAAAGCTGCCAACACCTGATGCTACCATTGAAACACTAAGTTAAAAAAAATAATTAAGGGGAGGGAACAATATGAACAATAAAGCTATCTGGCCCACTGTGTCCAACGGTCTCTTCTCTTGACATTCTAAAGCAAAAATGAAAAAAAGTCAGAAAATAGGCACTATACTATGTCCAACGCCAGCAACAAGCCTCCTCAGAAAGAGGATTCTGTCTTCCTGCCCTGTTCTTGGTAAAATCCACAAAGAGGAGTCCTTGCTGGCCTGACAGGGCCAGGCAGTGCTGCATTACATCAGCCGGTGTCACACCCATGCATTTTCTCTGAAAATAGTGAGGTTCCAACACACATGTATATTTGTAAATTTCATCTTAAACTAAAGCTGGGTCATGACAAGCCTGGCTTGAAGCAAAGAGCATGGGGGGCTTGGCAATAGTTAGAAAATCTTTACCAGGCCACAGAAATGTTCACTAGCTCTGGCTGTATGGAAAATGCTGGGTTACACGAGAGGTCTTGCCCAGCACCCACTCGCAGAGGGTGAGCACAAAGGGCTTCTCTGATGTGCCTTGTTACATAAAGTAGAAGACTGTGCTGCAGTGCCAAGCTAAACAGCACAAGGGCCCCACACGGTCAGCAGAAGGTGGCACTCTGAGGATATGCTGAAGCCTAAATATTTGTCAGCTTGGCTGAGGGCTGGAGAGCATGATTCTGAAGGTTTATAGCTTCACAAAAGGATGGTGGTACTTCCTGTGCCAAATTTATTTTAAAAATCTGTTTCCCAATATGAATGGGATTTCTCGCCAAGTAACTGGCAACCTGAAGGCCTTGGCTGCCCTCTCCTTACTCCTTGCATCTGGGCTCAAGATCCAAATGTAGTTGGCAATGAAACTGGCAGAGAAATGTCATTAGCTGTTATTCAATTGCAATGATTAAACAACTAATAGAGCAGGGAAGAGGAACGGGAATACAGGGGAAAAGTTGGCTTCACAACAGCCATATGAAAGTGGACATGGATTCTGTGGTCCCCCAAAGCCACTGGCCACAAGCACCACTGAGAATTCTAGCAGTGTGCCAAATCTCTTTGGAACTGCAGTGTAGAAGTGTAGAGAAGAAAAGCTAAAAAGCTCATTTGAAAACCCACACTCACTCTGATTTCAGGGAGGACCTCCAACAACAGTGGTGGCGAACCTATGGCACGCAGAGCCCTCTCTGTTGGCATGAGAGCCAAGTGTATGAGTTATTTTTTTCTAAACTAAAACCTCAGTATTTTGGTTTAATTGCAGTATTGGCCCTTCGCAATAAATAAGTGGGTTTTGGGTTGCAGTTTGGGCACTCGGTCTCTAAAAGATTTGTCATCAGTGTCTTAGCAGCTTACCACACTGCTCCCTCTCTCTGGAGGGTCCCAGTCCTTGTGGATGAGAACTCAATCCTCCAAACTCAGCTCACTGATCACGTACCCCACAGAACACTTCCACACCATTCGCTCTACTACAGGTCCCCATGACCACCTTCCATTTATTTTCCTCATATTTTTTCTCATAATCCATAGCTATTTTATTGTTGTACTTATTTGTTTTTGCATTTATTTGTTCTTATTTACTACCTATCTCCCCCACTAGAATTTATGTTGCATGACAGTGGTGATTTTGCCCAGTGCCTACATATCAGAAATACTAATTGGCTGAATATTTTCTAGACCATTTTGAGCTATCTCTGTCTTTGAGCTGAAATTGCCAATAGTTGACCAAAGGAAGACGTTACAAGGGACAAAATTCATTAGGATGCAAATTCTGCTTTCAAAGAGTCAAAGGATATGAAAATCAAATTGCTATGATAACAGTAAGTATATGTGGTGGATGTTACAAGCATTTC